CATCCTTGAACTATGAAAAATGCACTTTTTTAATCCTCCAATCAATTAATTCGTTAACTATGTCCATATATGCACATTTTTAATCCCTAAGCTTATAAGTTCAAGTATTGCAATGGACTTACAAACTATTAGGAGTTTGATTTGTGTATTAGGTCTTTCACTAGATGAATTTGTTTTTGTTGCTTGCCATTTCCTTCGGTCTAAGACTGGCTTTTAACCTGCAGGATGACGATAAGGGTAAATTGTAGGAGATCCAGAAGGAGGTTTCAACATGGTTTATCGTCGCTGCTCTTTATCTGAAGAGGAAATTGCTACGTTGGTGACAGGAATGGAAGTAATAGCATTCTAGTATAGTAGAAACCAGATCAGCTCTCTGGTCTAAAGCTGTAAGAATCATTTCTGTTCATTCTCCACTCTTTTCGTACAGTTTAATTTCCTTTTGTTTCTTTTTTTACCCATGTCTCCTTCAGATGAGAGAGGGGGTGACGTCGTCATATTCTGTCTAAAGTATGATCTATCATATGTTTAATGGTAAATGCAATATTCGTTCAAGTTACACAGTTTTGCTTCCTCCTTTTTAGCCTTTAAAGGCATAGCTGTATCATAGAACGCAATGATGTTCTTTTTTCGTTAATGACTTGTAGACAACGTTTATCCATAACAAATTCTTACAAGTACTGTAGATAAATACTGATTCACGCATCCTTAAAAGAGAACTCAATGAAAATGATGTTAAGTCATGTTATAAAATTTTTTGTGTTTTCTTACAAGAGTCGATGAAAATTATGTGCTAACTTAAAATTGTAAGAATTGGTAATTGATGCAACATTAGCAACTAATCATCTTCGTCTATTTTTAATTTCTTACTCAGTTTTTTAGCAAGATCTATGTTCTTAATCAACATCTGAAGAAATCATTGCTTCCCTTAGCAGTTCAGATGTTGAATGAAAATGAGACACGGCTTTGAGAAAATATTAAAGAATAAAACCTTTACATGGACGTCATCTATAACGTTGAATTGATTAAGTCCGGATCTATGGATATGTTGG